GTAAAATTGTGTTTGTGTAAGTGACAGTTATATTTGCGTATTTCGAATTTATTGGTTTCCGAAAAGGAATTTTAATCCTTTTAGATTTGGCAAACACAATTTTGCATATAACGTTTTTAGTGTAATGGCTTAAGTGGTTTTAATTTTGAACAGATTCATGTCATTAAAATATATATCGGTTAAAATTTTATTTATTGAAAACGCATTTAGTTTTTATTAGAAAGATTAATTTTTGTGCTTATAAAAACCAACATTTTTAATTTCTATTAAAATTAGTTGAATTTTTTGAAAAAAAATTTAATTACTTCATATTTGTTACTTTTTTTCTATTTAATTAAAAATTATTAATATAACTGGCACTTTAAGTGTGATGAAAATATTACAAAATTAATATTTAGAAAGCTGTAGTATAATAACAGAGCTTTGATGCACAAGGCTGTCACTTCAAACTAACCTTATCTAATATTTACAACATATGAAAAAATAGAGAAAATATCATTAAAATATCTCAATGTGATAACAAATATACCTTAGAATGCTTCAAAAAAAAAAATTAAGACGAGATGTTCGATTTTGGTGAGTTTCTTATAACTTTAGGAACGAAAGCTTACATAAGATATTAATGGATTTCAATTATTTTTAGTTCAGTTCAAATTTTTTTAGAAATTCAATTCTCTTTGATAGATACAACTTTAACCCACTATTAGGTTTTCAAGAACCTTCGAAATATTTTTGTTCTAACCACCCTAATGGGTGATATTGGTAAGCATCCTAAGTTTTTTGTCACTAGATGTTGTTGATACCCATATATTCCTCTAGCAATACTAATCCTATTATGTTAAAGATCATATATTTTAATGGTGATATTTCAGGCGTCAATTTATTGTACATGCAATTATGCAAGTCATAACTCTTGTAAAAAATTGTTTTGATTTGGAAAAACATGAAATATTTGAAAATATACGATCTTCTTATAATATTATAAGAAAGGTATCAGTAAACATGCAAATACAAGCCGAACAATTATACGGCTAACGATGGGTATACTTGATTCCGTTCCCGAAATTTCAATGTCGAAAATAGACCTCGCCCTGATTGGGCAATTACTAAAAAAACCGATTAACACATTTTTGATGACTTGAAACAAATCGAAGAAACTTGATTGGAAAGCTTCGATGCATTCACTATGCAGATCTTGATGGATCTTGGATCCAGTTCTTGCACCATCTGACTGTCTAAGATATTTTGGTCTTTGTAGAACTCTTTTGATATTAAAAGATTAAGTGACCAAAGAGAGTCCATATTTTTGACCAATAAGCCACAGAAATTCTATACCTATGGAATTCTGAAGCTACCCGAAAAATGACAAGAAGTGATAAATATTAAAGGGACAATACACATTTAATTAAAACTGAATTTTAATAAATTCAACAAAAAAAAATTTTTTTAAATATGTACCAAAAAACCGAGAATACTTTTCTATATAACCCAATTAATTAATTAAAAACTAATAAAAAGTGAATTTGGTACAATAGGACACTTCTAGCCGCAGTACCGGTAGTTGGGCGATTTCACGACAATAGTTTTAATTAATATAATCCAATATTCATATATATGTATATATACATATATAAACATATTATATATATATTATATACATATATATTACATATATATATTATAATCATTACATATATGTATATATATTATTAATTATAGATGTATAGTATGACAACTGCTGTGATAAGGAAGAGTTTATGAAACATCTGATCACTAACTATGATGCACTAGGCTATAAAAGAAACAAAATTTTATGTGCATACCAACTAGAGGATGTAGACCTTCAAAAACTCTCTCCGAAGGAGCTGATTCGATTCCTCGCGATACTAAATAACTAAATACAAAGGGATACACAATAGATCAAACTTAGCCTAACCCGAAACCCCCAAACACCATTCCACCATTTCATTCCACCATGGTATGACAATTTTCAGCAACAAATTTAATTCCTCCCAAAATATTTGAGATTCTTTGAACTTCTGCTCCATTAAATTTGTTCTAAAACGTAAGAATGTTATTATCCCCTAGAATTGTGACGGTTCTCTCAAGCAAAAGTATCTCATACATTATTTCTATTTTCTCAAAAAGAAACATTTTGGAACTTTAACTTAAAGTATTTTGAATAACAAAATTTATTACGATTTGTAATTACCGTGCACTCTCTCCCACTTCACTATGACTCGCAAAAGTCATTTGTGAGACAATTCTATGACTCCACATATTTTCTTAGCATGGAAACTGAATTATTTAATCTAATGCAAAAATTTCTATTAAAATGAAAATTGAACATTTTATTGTCTGCTTAAATCGAGTGGAAATTTTGTTTACGATTATATTTTTCTGCAAATTATGTGGAAATATTTCGTGAAATAAAGATTTTCAAGGCGAACTGCACACACTTAATATATTTTTTGAATATTTTTTTGTTTGCATTATAAGCAATTTTACCTTTTTATGGCAATAAACAATTTATCTAGGATAATGAATAAAACTTTTTAGGTTTACGACCTGCAACAAAGTATCCCTACCCTAGAAGTTAATAGCTTCTATCCATTTTTCTTATATATGAATGTTTAATATTTGAAATTAGTTAAATTCTTTTCAACTAAATTTAATTTGTATCTCTGAGTTAAACGTAAAAATTCTTAATTAAAAGGGATTAATAGTCAATAAATTTGAAATTTAGAAATTAATTTTTTAAATAAATTAAATAAATATTTTGAGTCAACCATAGCACTATTTCGGATACCAACAGATATCCATCATATCCATCATCTTTAGGAACTAAAGTGTGTATATATATTATTTCGACTAAAAGTATCACGAAACGAACCCTGTCAAATTCAAACCGTAGATTTCCATATTAACACACATCTATTATGGGAAGTTAGAACAGAGTATCATCCAACCCAATAAAGTGACCCCAATAAAGTGAAGTTTTAGCTAAAGTAGACTGCAAAATGATTTGGGTTCTTCTTCGCCCTTCGATTCTCGGATGTCGTTGTGGAGTTAAAGCTAAAGTGGCTTCCAACACTCGTTATTGCAAGCAGTTCATTTAGCTTGTGTTGGCCTGATAAGTCATCACCAACCCAATGGTAGGCACAATATATGCACTGCTGTCTCCTCTTCTTCTAGATATAATCTGCACGTGTCTTCCTCATATAACACACATAACCAAACAACAACAACACTGGTGTGCTAGTTTTAAGGCTAACACATAAACCACAGCTATATAAATTCGCTTAACTTTTACAAATCGTTGTTCTGTAAAAGGTAAGCATTTAAGTCCTTTTCAATTTTTAATTTATATATTAGTAGAAATTATTTCTATAAACAATTGTGACTATAAAAGTAGAACTCTTTATTATTATTATTTATTATTATTATTATTTATTAATTATTATTATTATTTACATTTATTTTCAGCAATAAAAATAAATTTTCCACGAAAAAAATATTCTTCAGTGTTTTGTTCACATATCATAAAGGAATAAATATATTTTTTTGTTAAATCAATATATCGATAAGTGATGCAAATTTAATTTGGAAATATTCAAATATCTATAACAAATATTATATAGCTTTTCTAAAAGACTACATAAAAATTTTATAGAGTATCGTATGATATTTTTATATATGGTAGTCTTTTAAAAAAGCTATATAACATTTGCTATGGATATTTGAATATATCAGAATCATCACTTGCATTACTTATCGATATATTAATTTAATAAATAAATATATTCTTATTCTTTTAATGGATTTTCTTATCATAAAGGATTGATTTTGATTGATTTTTAAAGTCCATTTTGATAAAAGAAACTTAATTCTTAATATGAGGTATTACTTTCAATAGAAAGGTTTTTATCGAATACTAGCGAAATTGCAACAACACAAAATTATAAAAATAAATCTTTATAAAGATTATAAACATTCCTTTTATTTTTTAGTTAGATAGAGAGAGAACGGGGTACTAGCTCCCATTTGAGTAGAGCACTGCGACCATGATTGATCTTTTATGCTACAACAGCCCCTTACTGAACAGAATTTTTTGTTTTTTAAGTAATACATAGAATTTTTGTTGTTGTAGTTCATTGTTTTTCGAAACCTCTCTAACAAAATACAATAGTTTCTATTAGGTAAAATAGTCACAACTGTCATAACTGACGTTAAATTACTATTGATTAAATATAATACATATAAGAAATAGTGTTTCTTTAATAAAAAAAAGCTATCAAGTCACAGTTCTTTTTGTTGTATATATAAAAAAATTATATAAAGTCTCATTCAAAATCTGATTGTTAATCTGAATATATATTTAATCTCCTTTAACTCCTAGGAAGAGCATAGGGTCGCATAACAACCAAATGAGATTATAAAACGTGAAAAGTATCTGTATTTTTTTTATTAAAAAATGTCAATCCCACTAAAAACTTCTGTAACAAATAACCAAGATTTATTAAGTGCATCGAAAATATTAAGAGATCTGATAAACTAATCTTGCCAGACCTGACATTTTAGATGGTTCTTTTTCCTCTTCTTTCTTGCAGCACCTGCATTTCTAGAATCTATACCTAATCAATGACTAGACATTTTCAGTTAGTTTTCTTAATTGGAACAATGTGTATACTTTCCTAGATCGGTATAATTAATATTCATTATTTATTTAAATCTACACAAGAAAATATCTACAGATCTGATGAACTTATAACTTGATCTTGTCAGGGTTGTGCATTTGGTGAAAATTTCGCGATGGATCTTTTTCCCTGGTACTTTTTTCAGACCACTGCATACAGGAAAGTGTGTACTCTCTCGAATCGATATCATTAATATTAGTTATTTATTAAGATTAATACTAGATATAATAATAAAATAAATTGAAAATAAAATATATTTAAAATAATTATTTATTAATTCTTACAATATTTTTTTATATATAGCACACCCAAAGGATTGGAAGATGTTTCGGCATATCCCACACTATTTGCTGAATTACTTGGTGTTGGTTGGTCTATTGAGGATCTCACAAAACTGGCTGGTGGAAATTTTCTGCGTGTCATGCAGCAAGTCGAAAAGGTACGCGATGAGAAGAAAGCAGCTGGTGTTAAGCCCTATGAAGATCATCCCAACTTCCGTAGCGATGATCCATATAATTGTACTTCTAGCTAATTGATTATAAGGGTATCACCTGAAGTTGTACAGTAATTACTTTAAACACAAGGACTTAATATAGATTACAAAGCAAGGCAGCTAAAATTGCAGAAATTGTGAACGTTTATGTTTAAAAAACTATCATATAAGATTATTTAGATAATTAAAAATATTAATTAAATATTAAATTTAAAGTTAAAATCTGAGAAGAAAATTATTAAAAAATTAAAACATATAATGAGAACTGCTAATAGCTAAATTTTAGAAAAAAAATTTTATTTTTTCTTAAATAAACTCCTTTTTGTTGAACTTAATTCAAAAATTAATTTTAGTAAAAATTTTTTCAGTTCTTTATAATATTTAAATTATTTTTAAACGGTTGATATATGTTTAAAAAAAAAAAAAAACAAATGCACAATAACCCAAGACTTCATATTAAACAAAATTGTAATTTAAATTCTTTTAACCTAAAATACATAAAGAAAAATATTAAATAATATAACAAATAAGTGAAAAAATAATTAGGACATTATTTTTTGAAACTCCTTTAAGAAGACAATGCTTAATAAGTTTTTATATATTATATATATTACCTTCATACTGCGTATATAAGTACATTACCAAAGAAAAAAAAAGAACTCAGACAATTTTACACCTATTTGCATGAAACCCTCTTCTTAAGAATGTTAGCTCTATTATTTCTCAGGTTTCTGTATTAAGACGTAAGCAATAAATTCAACTTTCTGAAAAAAATAAAATAGTTAAGAAATATGTTTTACTAATATAACGAAAATATTTTATACGATTTTAAAAATATGTACTGATGTAAGAATTAAATCCAAATAGAGATATCAATACACACATTTTCATCGGATAATTATTATTACTCACTTAACAATCTCTTTTATAAATGGTCTTAACAACTGCTCCACATTCAATTAAAAATTTTTTAATATAATATTACTAATCTACATTAAATCTATTGACTTATTCAAAAATAAACCTATAGTATAAAATATCTATTAAGATCACAGTACTTTACTGTATCGGAAAACTGATATTCTGTGCTGGTCCGTTTGTGAAATTAGTATCAAGTGACAGTACTCTACTTCACTGAGAGTCTATATCTCAAATCGCTGTAATCCACTTCTCTGGGTGTAGTGACTTAGTATCAAGTCGCAGTACTCCATTTCACTGGGATTCTATATCTTAAATTGTCTATCGGTCGATTTGTCGACCTAGTATCAAGTCACAGTACTCTACTTTACTAGGATTCTATATCTAATATTGTCTATTAGTGCATTTGTGGACTTAGTATTAAGTCGCAATACTCCACTTCACTGGAATTTTATAACTAATATTATCTGTTGATCTGTTTGCGGACTTAGCTTGTTGCAGTGCTCTACTTCACTGGGATCCTGTATTTAATAATGTATATTGGTCCATTTATGGACTTAGTATCAAGTGGCAGTAATCTACTTCACTGGGTTTTTATATCTAGTATTGTGTATTGGTTCATTTATGGACTAAGTATGAAATCGCAGTACTCTACTTCACTAGAATTTTATATCTAATATTGTCTGTTGGTTCGTCTGTGGACTTAGTATGAAATCGCAGTACTCCACTTCACTGGGTTTTTATATCTAATATTGTGTGTTGGTTCGTTTGTGGACTTAGTATGAAGTCGGAGTACTCTACTTCACTAAAATACTAAACCCGATATTCTATACAGGTTCGTTTATGGACTTATTGTTAGATTATAGTGCACTACTTTACCGGTAGTCTATATTTGATATTCTGTTTCGGTCTGTTCACAAAGTTAACATCATCTAACAACGTTTTCTGAGTGTTTTTTTCTCAATTGCCACTATAACTTCAGACGTTTATGTGTGAGACCTGATATTATGAAGTCTTGTTAGTAGGCGCAACTTTCTTCTTTAAGAAAGTTTCTTTAGGTCTTTCGTAAATCTATTGGTGGTCTACTATATTCAACTATTTTGCATATAACTTCATTATCTTATTATTTATTAATTTTTTTAAAGGTCCTATTCTTAATTCTTTGTGACATAGCAGATAGCCTATATTATGCGTCCAGTCACGTTTTGAAACAGTTTTATTATCATTTCTTATATATTGCCAAATGCAACGCATCTATTTGAAATGCTGGATCTTATAACTTAAATATTTATAATTTAATTAATTATAATTTAATAATATAATTTTATAGATCAGAATATTGTTTTGAATCTTTAGTTTCCTTTGTAACAGTAACCGGTAAAAGGCAAAGGTTGAATTGTTGAAAAGCTCGTTTTTATATTATTTTACTTTTTTCTTTATTTTAACATTAAATCTAGATACTTTTTTTATTTATCCATTTTATGGACTTGTCCTTTAGAACAAGTCTTTCTGGGCTCTGGCTCTTTTTTATGGTGTTTAAGATTGACTTCATCTATTCCGCACTCAGCTTAATTTTTCACTTACTGAAATATTTTATTGTTTCAAGGATGTGTTTCTTTAGATTCACATACATGAAATACTCTTTTTTGTCAGACTATACATTATATACTATATGCAGATAATATAGTAAGAGAAAATGTATGGATCCTTTAGGGATATCTGGTATATAAAAACTGTACAGTAATAAGAAGAGTGGTAAACTCTATGGAACCTCCATGGCTTCTATTTTTTTTTATTATATATGAATTTATCCTTAACTTTCTTAACTTTAAAAAACTTTCTAAAAATCAAAATAGTCCTCTAATTTGACAAACAAATCCATATGTCAGACATTGTCGAACACCTTGAAATCTTGACCAACGGTCGATGGTATTGTGCGAATGTTGTGCGAATATTATGTTTAAGAATAATAAATTGTTCGAGTGAATTTGTGGACTTCTCTTCACTATTTTCTTCTTCTCTCTAAACTGTGAAGGGATACCTTATACTAGTCCACAGTTATTTTATCTCTCTAAATTTCTAATCTCTAAACTATCTCTTGATCTCTCTAAACTGTGGAGAGAAATATTTTATTCCTGTTCACAGTTTTTTTTTCGAATTTTTTAATTAAACGTGTGGCTTTCTTTTTATCATTTTCTTCTTCTAATCTCTCTATCCATAGTGGATAGAACAGTTTATTATAGTTCATCGTTTCCTTTCTTGAACATATTTTCTTGGGTAATAGTTTTCCTAATTAAAAATGAAAGGAGTCTAATCAAATGAAACTGTTAGATCTATTTTATAAAGGTTCTTTATCATTACTTTCTTCTTCTATTGTGGAATTAAATAAATTATTGTTCGCATCATTGTTGTGGATGGTTCTCACCCAGAAGATATTGCTTATGCGACTTAGGCACTTATTGTTAAATGTTTGGAGTTTATGGTGAATGCGTATTCCATAGCCTAACTAGTCTTCATTTCCAAAAGCGGAACTATTACTAACTCTATTAATCCTTATTCTATTAAGCATTTTATTTGTTTATCTCCTTATCTTAAGCATATATATTTATCTCCATACAATCTATATAAATCTAAAATTGATTTTCTATTAAATTATTAAAAAAATAAAATTCAATTTTTAAAAATAAGTTAGGACCATTTAATATTTTATAACACCTATATACTATCAGTTCTTTTTTAAAAATGTTTACATTGTTATATTCTTATTTATAATATTATAATAATTTAATATTGTTTTTTAAAAACACTTTTTAAATTTTATTACTACTGAAATAGCCACTCTAAATGTTAAACTAAAAACTACAAAAAAAATTTAAGTACGAAAAACATATCAAATTTATTTATGAAAATTATTTTAATAATGAAAATGTTTTATTAAAATTTTACTATGAAGTACTTAGAGATATCATTATAAATGTATAATTATATATATATGAAGGTTATAATTTGCAAATAAATGAATAATGTCAAATAGTTTGAAGAATGTCAAATCCAATATATATAATGAATATATATAAAGTAGGGAAAAACTACACTTAAGATACATAAGGTTTACGTTAAGTAATAATATAATTAAATACCAGTAAATTATATGCATATAAAAGTATATATACAAATATATATATAAATAAGGAGATAATATTATTAGATATGAGTTTGAAGTTCATCATTTGTGTATAAGTGTATAAGTTCTACACAAAAAAAAAACAATTGAATATAAGTAAAATATATTAAATTACAAGATAAACACTTAAATATGTAATAAAAAAAATTTTGAAGTTAGGATTAATATTTACTCTATAATCGCTTAAAATTTAAGCAATTACTTTCCCGTACTACTATTTACAGTAAACTGAATTTTGCCTTTTTTAAATACTTTTTTTCTAATAACTGAGGAATAGTCTTCCTTGAGCTTCTATTCAAGTCAGTTATATCTGGTTATAACTCTTCTAAATGCAAATATAATAGACATTCCCAAAGTGAGGAATGCTAAATTCACATATATATATATAAAATATCTTCTGAAACTCTAATAATAGTCATAAGCCTCATTCTATGTAAGAAACCTTTATAAGTGTAGATAGCCAAGAATTAGATCAGAGGGATCATTTTGAAAAATAGCCCTCTAAAAATGAGTGATATAATTAATAAATTTCCACACATGAGAGACATCTTTGGCAATGACCCCTTCCTAAAAAGATGCGGGATGCAATTTGCCATAATTTTTCGTAACGAAAAAATTACAAATAGGGTTCTGTCTTCCCTAAGTATGATATATAGAATACAAAAGTATGGGCTTTTAAATTTGCAGGCATGTAACTGCCAGATTAAAACTGCCAGAAATCTACAGCAACTGAAACCAAATTCCCAATTTGATGAACCGTATTCAATAATAAAATAAGATAGATATTAATTATTTCAGGACAATAACCTTTTTCTCAATCTTCTATAAACTGAACAGTAAACCAAAAGTTTATTACTGACATTGGCTCAATATTTCAATCGTTAAAATGGGATTGTAGTTGAGCACTTCTTTATTGATCTAACACATTTAGAGGATGTGATGTGATGTGATGTGATGCCATCATGGCTTCTTTCCCCCTTTTTTTCATAATGACACATTATAAAATTATACTTTAGGTAAACTTTTAGGGTGATGCATCGTCCCATTTACCATTTGTGGTAAT